ACATGGCAGTGAGAATAGCATCATAGTCAAGTGCAAAGATATCTACCCTCTGTCCAAGCAGCTCCGGCCAGGTAGGGAGCTCAGCCTCGTCTCCAAACACGGTACGCCAGGCGTCGCTCAGACGGGCGAAGCAGCGGGACTGTGTGTGACCAAGCGTCCCGCAAGGCTGACCAGTCCTATCACCTGTGCGAATGACGTACGGGCAGCGAACGGTACGCGAAGACCTGCTACACTGAGCGTACCACTCCTGGAGCTGCCGGGGCGTAAGTGTCTCACGTGGACGCCCCTGCAGCTGCAGCTGGCCACTGCCAGACGCCCCCAACTGACCAGCTCCAGGGCGACTGCTACGACGGCTACCTCGACAGCCCCAACTAGTATACCACTCATCAAGCTGCTGGGGCGTGAGAGACTCGCGGGAACGACGCTGGAGCTGCATCTGGCCACCTGCTAATAGCAGGAGTAGTAGCAGCCGCTCGGGCAGCTCGGACAGGCGCGGCAGGCAGGCAGACAGGCAGGCAGACAGGCAGGCAGGTAGGCAGGCAGGCAGGCAGGCAGGCAGACAGACAGGCAGGCAGGCAGGCAGGTAGGCCGGCAGGCAGGTAGGCAGGCAGGCAGGCAGACAGGCAGGCCGGCAGGCCGGCAGGCAGACAGGCCAGCAGGCAGACAGGCAGGCAGGTAGGCAGGCAGGCAGGCAGACAGGCAGGCCGGCAGGCAGGCAGGCCGGCAGGCAGGCAGGCAGACAGGCAGGCCGGCAGGCAGACAGGCAGGCAGGCCGGCAGACAGGCAGGCAGGCAGGCAGGTGCTCACCAAAGGCTGGAAAGGGCCGGCGCTCGGTGGGCGGCGACCGGGTAGGCGTACGACGGCGGCGACGGCGGGGCCTCAACAGCGGCTGCAGAGTAGGGCCGAAGCAGCTGCAGGGCGGGGCCGCTTCAGCGGCAGTTGCAGGGTGGGGCCGCGTCAGCGGCAGGTCGGGGCCGTGGCAGCTGTAGGTCGGGGCCACATCAGCGGCAGGTCGGGGCCGTGGCAGCTGCAGGGCGGGGCCGCATCAGCGGCAGGTCGGGGCCGAGGCAGAGGGCCGCGCGCGGCTCGGCGCGGGCTGCGCTGACAGCGCGCTGGGCTGCTGCAGGCCGCGCGCGGCCGCGCTAGGCAGTAGCGGGCCGCGCGCGGCTCGGCGCGGGCTGCTGCGGGCCGCGCGCGGGCCGCGCGAGGCAGTAGCAGGCCGCGCGCGGCTCGACGCGGGCTGCGTGGGCTCGGCGCGGGCTGCGCGCGGCAGCAGCGGGCTGCGCGCGGCTCGGTGCGGGCTGCGCGCGGCTGCAGCGGGCTGCGCGCGGCTCGGCGCGGGCTGCGCGGGCTCGGTGCGGGCAGCGCGCGGCAGCAGCGGGCTGCGCGCGGCTCGGTGCGGGCAGCGCGCGGCAGCAGGGGGCCTAACGGGTCTGCAGGGGCTGTTCGCGGGCCTGAAGGGCGTGTAGGGGCGGCGCGCGGGCCTTACGGGCCTCTAGGGGCAGCGCGCTGGCCTAGGGCAGCAGGAGGCAGCGCTAGGGCTGCTGGACGGCGCGCGTAGCGCAGTACGTCACAAGGCAAGGCAAGGCAGGCAGGTACGTGGGGTAGCGCGGTAACCGCAGCGGTAGGTGGGCCCGAAAAAAAAGACGGTCCTACAGACCTTAGTACTCTGAAACCATGTTAGAATCTAGCAGCAGGAATGAATGAACTAGCAGGAAGATGGGTACAAGTAGGAAACCCTAATTTGGGTTGTACCCCATATGGGCTACCCCACTACAGCCTACACAATAAGCAGCATATATGTTTGACACAACGAGCGTACCACCCACAAAGCTGTTGGGGCGTGAGGGACTCACGCGGACGGCGCTGGAGCTGCATCTGGCCACGCCAGGAGCAGCAGGAGTAGTAGAAAGTGCAGTAGCAGTAGGAGCAGCACGAGCAGCAGTAGCAGCAGGAGCAGCAGTAGCAGTACTAGCAGCAGTAGTAGTAGAAAGAGCAGTAGCAGCAGGAGCAGCAGTAACAGCAGTACAGGCAGGACAGTGCTCACCAGTGGCAAGAAGGGCAGGCGTACGACGGCGGCAACGGCGAGGCCGGCACCACTGCAGGGCGAGGGCTCCGCGGCAGCTGCGGGGGGCAGCTGCTCCAGGGCCGGCTGCTCCAGGGGCCAGGGGCGGCTGCTGCAGGGGCGGCTGCTCCAGGGGCAGGGGCGGCTGCTGCAGGGGCGGCTGCTCCAGTGGCCAGGGGCGGCTGCTGCAGGGGCGGCTGCTCCAGGGGCCAGGGGCGGCTGCTGCAGGGGCGGCTGCTCCAGGGGCCAGGGGCGGCTGCTCCAGGGGCCAGGGGCGGCTGCTGCAGGGGCGGCTGCTCCAGTGGCCAGGGGCGGCTGCTGCAGGGGCGGCTGCTCCAGGGGCCAGGGGCGGCTGCTGCAGGTGCGGCTGGTCCAGGGGCCAGGGGCGGCTGCTACAGGGGCGGCTGCTCCAGGGGCCAGGGGCGGCTGCTGCAGGGGCGGCTGCTCCAGGGGCCAGGGGCGGCTGCTGCAGGGGCGGCTGCTCCAGGGGCCAGGGGCGGCTTTAGAGGTCCAGGGGAGGCTGCTGCAGGGGCGACTGCTCCAGGGGCAGGGGCGGCTGCTGCAGGGGCGGCTGCTCCAGGGGCCAGGGGCGGCTGCTGCAGGGGCGGCTGCTCCAGGGGCCAGGGGCGGCTGCTCCAGGGGCGGCTGCTCCAGGGGCCAGGGGCGGCTGCTGCAGGGGCGGCTGCTCCAGGGGCCAGGGGCGACGCCGCGCAGGGGGCCGCGAAGAGGCCTCGAAGGGGCCGCAAAGGGGGGGGGCCACGAAGGGCCGTAGAGGGGCCGCGACGGGGTCGCGAAGGGGCCGCGACAGGGTCGCGACGGGGTCGCGAAGGGGTCGTGACGGGGTCGCGACGGGGTCGCGAAGGGGTCGCGACGGGGCCGCGACGGGGTCGCGACGGGGACGCGACGGGGCCGCGACGGGGTCGCGACGGGGTCGCGAAGGGGCCACGACGGGGGGGCCGCAAAGGAGGGGCCGTGAGAGGGGGGGCCGCAAAGGAGGGGCCGTGAGAGGGGGGGGGGGGGGCGCGAGGGGCCGCGTAGGGGCCGCGAAGGGGCGGTCTAAGGGCGTATTCCTACGGCCTCCTATCAAGAAACCTCCTATCAAGAATGCACATTTTGCCTGGTGAAAGTAGCGAGAGATTTTGGGTTTAGGCAATTTTCCTGTGTGGGCTTGATAAGAGGTTTTCTTGATAGGAGGATAGGAATACGCCCTAAGGGCCGTAAAGGGGGCCGCTAAGGGCAAGGTAAGGCCACGAAGTGGCAGTAAATTCTAGGGCAGGGGGCAAAGGCGCTTCGGACAGCTGAAAAAAAAAAATATTCTTGTGGTGGGCCCTAGGAAGAAACGGTCCCACTAGGGAACCCGCTCTATACCATGTGAAGTAGAGAGGATTGAATGAAATAGGAAAGTGTGTGATACAAAAGTGAAACCCTAGAATTGTGTACCCTTTAGTATCTACCCCGCTACAGCCTACATAGGCTAGATCATATAAGTCTGACAAGTACACCACGGCAATCCTGAATGTTCAGGTCATTTCAGATAAAAACATCCTGAGACCTCAGGGTAAACATTGAAACTATTCTGAAATGACAGGGTAAATTCAAAACTGCATCCTGAATTCAGGGTAATCAGGATGTTTTGCCCTGATAACGTGGGCCCTGTACATACACACATACATGGGGATCATACCAATAGGTCTGTAAATTAAGTTTACTATTCCATCACACATGCAGATTCTTGGGTCTTGACGGTATATTTCCAACAACTCAGCCATCAAAATCCCTGCTTGGAATGTTTGGAGCATAGAAATATATCTTTTTGTCCAATTTCTATCAACTCATTTTGTGCAGAGATGCTCGACTCGAGGATGAGTGTCAAGCATCAGGTGCTTTCCCTGCAAACAGGCCTGTAGGCAACGTGGGCCGTTCATTTGACTTGCAGACGACAGACGACGACGGCACGGCAACATCCGAGGACACGGCACCGTCCGTCCATCATCACCTTGCTCTCGTTCGATCCCCCCCAAACCAACCACCGCCACACCACACCACACCCGCACCTGTTCGTCTTGGTTTGGTTGACTGGTCGGTGGAAAGAAAGCCATCTACACGTTCAGGTCGCTCGCAGGTTCATTGCAGAACGGTGCTCTGCTGCTTCCTCGCCACGATTCGCGGTATTGCCAAGGGGCTGAGCTGTGATAAGTGATGCATTCCCGATTTTAGGAGGTGAAATGCTAGCAGTTATAGCAGCAGCTAACAGATATTCGCGGCTGACGTAGTTAGTAGCTGCCGCTTCCGCTGTCGCTGTTTCTGCGGAAAAGCATTTCGTTTCCCGAGGCTTTTAAATTATTCAGTCGCAATCTCCAATCAGTGTCGTTAATGGAAGCCACCAATAGTTTCCTCGACGTGTCATAATGGCTGAAGTTAGTCCGTGGAGTTTGCGCTGCGTTGTTGGAGTGCTTTGTCGAGTTCAGCTCCCATTTTCGCTAATGTGCAATCCGCAAGAGCCGTCCTTATCCAGCTAATCCACAAAGGGATATTTCCAGGTTTTGAATTATTAGGCCTTCGTGGATGACATCGGCAATAACCGCCTTTTTCAGCTAAACCTGAATCTGCCTTGTTTCAAATCTTTATCTGTCGGAGCGTCTCGTCGCGTAGCAATATTTCTTTAGCAAGTGGGTTTTTGCGCTTATTGCTGCTCGAGGAGGCATAAAACCCCAATTGCACGGCAGGATCAACGGCGAACGAAGCAACGACACAATCCCCGTCTGACTCAGTTACTTCCTGTGCCAGAACTGGTTAACTTGGCAGATTGCAGCGTCACTTGAAAATCGGAAGCATAGACGCATTGACACATTTGACCCTCCAGTGGTGTTTTAGGGATCCTTACATTCACCCTTGAGCCTCCGTCTGACCCGCTGCTCCCGTCATGGGGGGCTGCATGTCAGTCGAGGTAACGGTCGACAAGAAGGGATCTTCTACGAACCTTCGCAGCTCCGCGTCCTCTACCACGTCCGCCGGAAAGAAGAGCTCCACAGGTTCGGATGCTCCGAAAAAGAGCTCCGCAAGTTCCGGCGCGAGTTCCGCTCCCATCGTCTCCAATTCGTCAGCCTCAGGTATGGCCGATCCTTGCTGGAGTCGTTGTTGCGTGGTACGCGGTTACCGTTGTCGCGCATTTCGCAGCTGCAAATGTCGCGGGTTTTTCAGGGTCCGTTGTCTGGGTGCCAGTCGAGCGAATCTCAGAAACAATGTTTGTGGGGGTGGTTTTTTAAGATCTCATTCGAAAGTTCCTGAGACTTACCAGCGAGGCTTTCCCATGCAATGCCTCGCACACGCCATAGCAGTGTTTCCTCTCTTGAGATTCGACCACGAGCACCAGCCCTCTTGAGTCGATTCTAACAATGTTTCTTTTCCCCTTTTCCTCCCCTCTCCCCTGAAGGCGGCGACGAACTCGTTCAGCAATTAGGGCGTGCTGGGGAATCGCATCTCTTGAATCGACTGTAAAACCGTTCCCCCTTTCCGTCTCTTCCCATATCCCTGCTGCCCCTCCCCTCTCTCCCCTGACGCCTCTCCCCCCACAGGAGGCGTCACGACGACCAACAGCAGCGGGCCGGGCGGCGGCGGCGCGGGCAGCGCGAAGAAGTTCAAACTGGCGGAGCTGAAGGCGGCGACGAACTCGTTCAGCAAGAAGGGCGTGCTGGGCGAGGGCAGCTTCGGGGAGGTGTACCGGGGGGTGCTGACGGACAAGGTCACGGGCGAGGTCACCAAGGTGGCTGTCAAAATGCTCAACGCGGAGAGCTCCCAGGGCATGGACGAGTGGCTGGTGAGTGAAGGGCATGGACGAGTGGCTGGTGAGGGGGTGGGTGGAGGATTGGTGGCGTGGTGAGTGGGTGGTGAATGGCATGGTTGAATGGCTGGTGAGTGGGTGTGTGAACAGTCAAAGGTCAAGGTAATCTCAGAAGAGAAGTTCAGGGAGGTTCTGATTGACTGCAGGCAGTACAACTCGTGCACAGGTGAACAGCTGAACAGCCCAACTGACCCCCTCTTCCACCCCCTCCTCTCGACCTACTACTAAATGCCATCCCAACCCCCACTTCGCATTCCCCTTCCTCCAGGCGGAAGTGCTGCTGTTGCCGAGCCTGAACCACCCGAACCTGGTGCGCTTGGTGGGGTACTGCGCGGAGAAGGGCGAGGCGCTGCTGGTGTACGAGCTCTGTGAGAATGGCAGCCTCGACGACAAGCTCTTTCCCTGTAAGCCCTTTTTTCTCCTTGTGAGTCACTGACGTGAGGCTCCAGGGGTCCTCTCACCATGGTACAAGGGCGAGGTGAGGCGCTGCTGGTGTACGAGCTCTGTGAGAACGGCAGCCTCGATGACAAGCTCTTCCCATGTGAGTCGCCTTTCCCCTGTGAGTCGCTAGCATGAGGCCATAGGGGTCCTCCTCATTCATGGTATGAGGGCGGAGGAAGGGGCTGCTGGTGTACGAGCTCTGTGAGAACGGCAGCCTCGACGACAAGCTCTTCCCCTGTGAGTCGCTCTTCCCCTGTGAGTCGCTCTTCCCCTGTGAGTCGCTCTGTCCGTCTCTTTGAGCGCTCGTCCCTATATTGCTCCTTTTCTAGATCGCATGTGTCTTGCTCTTCCCTCATCTTGTCTCTCCCATTGGTCGATCCTGCTCTCTCACACTTCACCCCCTCCCTCCTCAACCCCTCCCCCCTCACCCCCTCCCCCCTCACCCCCTCAACCCCTCAACCCCTCCCCCATCAACCCCTCAACCCTCACCCTTTATACCCTCACCCCCTCAACCCCGCGACTCCTCATCCCCACCCCCCCTCACCCCAGCGCGCATGGACGAGGTGTTTGACTGGAATTCGCGGCTACGAGTGGTGCAGGGCACAGCGGGCGCGCTGGTGCATCTTCACGAGCACAACGTGATCCATCGCGACCTCAAGCCGTCCAACATTCTGCTGGGGGAGGTGAGGGACGATGTACGGGTTGAAGGGGCGGGATGGGGTGGGGTGGGGTGGGGTGTGTGTGGTCTGCTGGTGCATCTGCACGAGCACAACGTGATTCATCACCGTGATCTGAAACCGTCAAACATCCTGCTGGGGAGGGGAGGGCGACATAGGGGCTGAGGGGGGAGAGTGGGGAGAGGGGGGGGGGTGGGGTGTGAGGGTGCCTGCATGCAGGCTGCAGCTGGTGCATCTGCACGAGCACAACGTGATTCATCACCGTGATCTGAAACCGTCCAACATCCTGCTGGGGGAGGTGAGGGAGAGGTGGGAAGGGAAGGTGGGAGGGCGTGTTGCTGCAGCTGGATGCGATGCCGCTCAATGCCTGCATTCCATTCCACATCCCTGGCATTTCGCACTGTTGCATTCAGGCGCAATGCATTGCGTCGCACCCCTCATGTTTGACTCCTGGCACTGCTGGCATTCCGTTGCGTCTGGAGCATGGGAACATGTGGGGCATGTGGGCACGATGCATATGGGCATGGGACATGGGACATGGTCCATATGGGCATGGGTCATGGTGGATGTGGGGCATGTGGGCATGGAGCACATGGCACATGGCAGGGCATGGAGGCGAAGTTAACGGACTTTGGGATGGCGAAGCAGGCAGCGGAGGGAGTGAGCCATGTGAGCACGCGCGTCATGGGCACGCTGGGCTACCTCGACCCTGCCTACATGGAAACAGGTGTGTGCCACATTGCTGCTTGCCTCGCTTTTGAGTCGACCTGTCATGTGAGCATGCGGGCCATGGGCACCCTGGGCTACCTCGACCCCGCCTACATGGAGATTGGTGCGTGCTCATGGGTTCTGCTGTGCTGCCCCCGCTCAGTGCTGCACTGCATGAGTATGCTGCTGCACTGCTCTTGCCTTTGGGACGTCTCACAAGCGACTTGGATATAGCCGGAGGCAGAGGGTGGGAGCATGGGAGTCATGGGCACTCTGGGCTACCTTGACCCTGGTAATAGTAACGGTGATGGGGTAATGGTAATTGTAATGTTAATGGTAATGGAAATGGTGATGGGGTAATGGTCATAGTAATGGTGATGGAGTAATGGTAATGGTAATGGTGATGGGATAATAGTAATGGTATTTGTAATGGGGTAATGGTAATGGTAATGGTGATGGTGATGGTGATGGTGATGGTGATGGTGATGATGGTGATGGTAATGGTAATGGTAATGGTAATGGTGATGGTGATGGGGTGATGGTAATGGTAATGGTAATGGTAATGGTATAATGATAATGGTAATGGTGATGGGGTAATGGTAATGGTAATGGTGATGGTAATGGTAATGGTAAAGTTGATGGGGTAATGGTAATGGTGATGGTGATGGTGATGGTGATGATGGTGATGGTAATGGTAATGGTAATGGTAATGGTAATGGCGATGGCATAATGATAATGGTAATGGTGATGGGGTAATGGTAATGGTAATGGTAATGGTGATGGTAATGGTAATGGTAAAGTTCATGGGGTAATGGTAATGGTAGTGGTGATGGTAATAGTGATGGTAATGATGATGGGGTAATGGTAATAGTAATGGTATTTGGAATAGGGTAATGGTAATGGTAATGGTGATGGTAATGGTAATGGTAATGGTGATGGTAATGGTAATGGTAATGGTAATGGTGATGGTAATGGGAATAATAATGGTAATGGTAATAGTAATGGCGAGGGAGTATGATAATGATAATGGCAATGGTGATGGGGTAATGGTAATGGTGATGGGGTAATGGTAATGGTAATTGTGATGGGGTAATGGTAATGGTAATTGTGATGGGCTAATGGTAATGGTAATGGTGATGGTAATGGTAATGGTAATGGTGATGGTAATGGTAATGGTAATGGTGATGGTAATGGTAATGGTGATGGGCTAATGGTAATGGTAATGGTGATGGTAATGGTAATGGTGATGGGCTAATGGTAATGGTAATGGTGATGGTAATGGTAATGGTAATGGTGATGGTAATGGTAATGGTAATGGTGATGGTAATGGTAATGGTAATGGTGATGGTAATGGTAATGGTAATGGCGATGGGCTAATGGTAATGGTAATGGTGATGGTAATGGTAATGGTAATGGTGATGGTAATGGTAATGGTAATGGTGATGGTAATGGTAATGGTAATGGTAGTGGATGGTCTAATGGTAATGGTAATGGCGATGGGGTAATGGTAATGGTAATGGCGATGGACTAATGGTAATGGTAATGGCGATGGGCTAATGGTAATGGTAATGGTGATGGTAATGGTAATGGTGATGGACTAATGGTATTGGTGATGGGCTAATGGTGATGGGCTAATGGTAATGGTGATGGGTTACACAGAGATCGGTGCATCCCTGCTGCTGCTCGTACTTAATACATACAAGCCACGCTGCTCCTGCTGACAGGGAAAGACACCCATTCCACTCTCTGCTTGCTGTTCTCACTCCCTTCCAACCTCTTCCCTCCCTTCCTTCCCCTCACGTCCTGCCAGGTCGTCTACAGGAGAAGAGCGACGTGCTTTCCTGAAAGTTGATTCTGCTGCAGGTTCTGACAAGCAAGGACGCATGCATCAAGCCAATTCCGTGTTCCACTCTCCCTTACTCACTGTGCGCTGTTGCGCCCCTTCCCCCCCATCCTGTCCCCCACCCGTGTATCCACCAGGCTGCCTTCGAGAAAAGAGTGACGTGTTCTCGTTCGGAGTGATCCTGCTGCAGGTGCTGACAGGCAAGGACGCAGTGGACGATCGGAACATCAAGCTGGCAGCCGCCATGCACAAGCACCTGCACCCCAACGTGGCGGACCCCGACAAGTGGATCGACCCAAAGCTGCAGGGCAAGTACCCGCGGAAGGGTGCTCTCATGATGGCTGCGATCGCCAAGCAGTGCATTGCTGATAATGCCGAGGACCGCCCGGAAATGAGCGACGTGGAAGAGTTTTTGAACGACATCCAGATGATGTAGCGGGAAAGGATAGATGGGTCACGGCTGGGCGGCGTTTCAACTTCCAGTGTTGCCATGCATGTATCTAGAATCCGGTGGTTTGTGCAGCAGCTGTGTGCTGTGCAACTCAGGGAGGGAAGTGATGCGGTTGGCTGGCTGATTCGTGTGGTTCTGCTGCTGTGTTGTGCTGAAAGGTCATGCCAGGAACCCTAGAGGCTAGATCTTCAGCCGCCCACGCCTGCAGGAGAACGGTGTATTCATTATGGCTGTGAACACCCAGCACTACATAGTAGAACAAGCAGCAGTGGAGTCAGTGGGTAGCTGACATTTCAATCGTTTGGCTGCATGATTTGGGTGGCTACTGCAGCAGTTGTGTGGTGCGGCATTGGCATGGCATCTTTCAGAGAATTATTGGCCCGCTGGTTTGTCAGTGCTGTGGCCTATGATAGGCGGGCCTGTCCAGAAAGGTTGGGAAACCGACGGCTCCAAGGGGTGTCGCGGCTTTCATTTCAAGGCTGCGTGGTATTAAATTATTTAGGGCAACTATTATGTGTACAATAGCTGGGTTCCATAATATAACGCCCAGTTGTAGGAAAGAAATTTTCCCGATATTGATGTTTGTGTGACAAGTGTTAGTGCTACAGTGTCAAGAAATGTGGCTAGCCAATAACGAGGAATGTAGCACAAACATCCATACCGCTCCAGCCCGTTATTCCCAAGGGTGTCTGTCTACCAACCAGTTTTGTGTGTCCAATTCTAAACCCTCCCTGCATTTCTGTCAGCCATGTTAGTGTTATTGTCAGGTGCAGCCACAGGCGTGCGCGATTTCAAGCAACGAAAACGTGAATCTTCGCAACAGAATTGCGTGATTAAAAGGATCGGGAATGTGTGATTTAGTGGTTCCTCTTGCGACCTGTCCGCGATGCCCACGCGGCTTCTGTACACGTTACTTCGCCTCCTCATCCTATGCAACTTATTCCATGTCGGGTTACCAGCATCTCGCGAGAACAGTTCTTTGCTCGAGAGCATTGCGAGCGGGGATGAGATCGTTGCAGGGAGAGTGGACGAAATGGAATCCGAATTGGAAGAGGCGTTGTTGGGAAGGAAAAAGGGGAATGCAGCAGCGGGAAAGCTTTTGAGCGTCACACCACTAGACGGTCAGCCGACAAGCCTCACGGTCGGCGACAAGCACCGCTCCCCACCGCTCTCTGTTTCCGTGGCCCCGCAGTCCCTCTCTCCCGCCTCCCCTGCAGCAGTCAATGCCTCGCAACGAGCGGACTCGTTACCGGCACAAGCGCCGCCGTCCCTTCCGGCTCCAGACGCGGCAGCAGCAGGGGAAAGCCAGGTTTCCGTAGCAGCGGCCTCTGTACCCGCTCCTTCAATCAACAGCACGTCAGAAACTGGGAGGGCTAATGATGATGCTGCTGACTGGGGGAGGGTGAACTGGGGGAGGGCCATTACCCTGAAGGAGAGGGAGGCGGAGGAGCGAGCCAAAGTGGCTGCAAAGCGGTGCTATGGGATGCAGAGGGCGTACCGCACGGGGTTTGAGAGGGGCGGCATGGCGTGGGAGCCACGGGCTGATCGCTACGTGCTCATGGACTGCCATCGCAACCAGGTGCGTGTGGTAACCAGGTGGTGTGTGGTAGTCAGGGAGCATCTCAGCCTTTCAAACACTGTAAGCGAGACACTTCAATCAGTCCTATGTGGTTACATAGCATGGGAGCCACAGGCTGATCGCTACGTGCTCATGGACTGCCATCGCAACCAGGTGCGTGTGGTAACCAGGTGCTGGTAACCAAGTGGGGTGCCCTAGTCAGGGAGTATCTCAGCCTTTCAAGCACCTTAAGCGACCCACTTCAATCACCAACCAACGGGCTGATCGCTACGTGCTCATGGACTGCCATCGCAATCAGGTGAGCAAGGTAGCCAAATAGGGTGTGGTAACCATGTGGGATGAGGTAACCAGGTGGGTGTGGTAGCCAGGTTAGATGTAGTAACCAGATTGGATGTGGTAACCAGGTCGGGTGTGCTTCCCCAGTGTATGACACATTTCCGTTTATGTAAACGATGGTGTGTATGGGCCACATGTAACATGCGAAGTGCCTTATGTCGTATGTCTGCTCTGCTCTCACTCCTCATGGCTCCCGTCCCATTGCTCTGCATGAGTGCACGTGTGGATGTGTGCGTGTCTCCATGTGTTCACGTGTTGGTACTGTGTTCATGTGGTCCAGCTGAGCAACCGCATTCGCTGCATAAAGAACCATCTGGTGGTGGCGGGCGTGTTCAACCGCACACTCGTGGTGCCGCTGCGAGCAGACGAGGTCACCCGCCACTACGACCTCCGCACCTTCTTCCACCTCCCGGTGCGCTGCTTGCTTCTTGCTGCTCGGTGCTCCCTGCTCGCTGCTTTTGGTCCGAATGCCTTTGGGTCTACCAGCAAGCCTTGGCAAAGTGCTTCATGTCTGCAGCGTGCTCGTGTCTCACCTCACCTGGTTCACTCTCTGTTTTGGCAATCCCATGTGACCCTGCACTGTCCCCACCAGCACACGCGCCTGTGCTACGGGCCACAGTCAGTGATCTCCCTGGACGACCTACTCGCCCTGCCTGTTGCGCCAGCCCTTGCAGCTGGGTTGGAACCTGCACCAGGAGGTTCGGAAACAGCAGCAACTGCAGCAGCACCACCTGTAGCAGCAACAGCAGCAGCAACAACACCAGAACCTGCTGCTCCACCTCCCTTTCCAGCACCAAAATCTCGAACCCAGACTGCAGCAATTCAAGTGGATCAGGTGCTGTGTCTGCAGAAGCAGTGCTATAACCAGTCAGCTGCCCCTCGCGACGACCTCCCCTCACTCTCTGGCGTCACCTACCCGCCGAACCTCCTGCTCACGATCGGCAACACCTCCAATCCTCTGGAGATCCCGAAGCTCCTGGCGCTGCAGTCTCTGATACAGCCAACCGCTAGGGTTGTTCTGTTGGGAGATTTAGGATCCATGCATATCACGTTCCCAGGGAAACATTACCTGGACGTCCCCTTTAAGCAGAGTCCTGAGTGCCCGAATGCTCTGGCTGTGGCGCCACACCCTGCTATTCTGGAAGCTGCGAGGGAGTTTGTTTGGAGTGTGGTGCTGCCCGGTGCCAGGAGGGAGTGGGAGGCTGCTGATACTGCTCTGGGAAGGGGAGGAGGTAAAGTTGGTAACCAGCAGCAGCTGCAGCAGCAGGAGGAGGAGGGAAGGCAAGGGGGAACGGAGCAGGAGGGAGGGCATGCAGTTGGTCGGGCAATTGGTCGGTACGTGGGGGTGCATTGGAGGCGAAGGGACCTGATGCAGCACAGCAATCCCAATGCGCGGCTCACTGTGGAGCATGCGGGTGCATGCCTGCTGAAGGCCTTAGGCATGGCTGGAAACATCACCACCATGTTCCTTGCCTCTGATGCTGACGACCACGAGGTGAGGGATGTGAGAAAGCATGCAGTGCATGTATCGTGATTTAATGTAGAGCATGCGGGTGCGTGCCTGGTGAAGGCCTTGGGCATGGCTGGGAACATCTCCACCATGTTCCTTGCCTCCGATGCTGACGACCACGAGGTGAGGGATGTGAGAAAGGATACAGTCGACAGTCCATGTATCGTGATTTAATGTAGAGCATGCGGGTGCATGCCTGGCCGTAGGCATGGTTGGAAACATCTCCACCATGTTCATTGCCTCCGATGCTGACGACCACGAGGTGAGGGATTCCATACCACATGTAAAGTATGCAACCCGGTTGTAAAAAAAACGGGGCGATAGTTGATGTCCACTGTTTTTTCCGCACCCCTGCTTCTGGTGTTCATTGCACAGGTGGAGGTGCTGGAGAAATTCATGAAAGATAGGATTCCAGGTTTCAAGTTTGTTCTAAGGCCCAAGTCTTTTGAAGACCAACCATGGGCAGCGGTGCTCAAGCCTCACAAATTCCAAGATGATGTGTCGGTGACAGCTACGCTAGACACGGCGATTTGTGCCATGGCTGATGTGTTTCAAGGAACTGCCGCCTCGTCGTTCTCGCTAGATATTAGAAGGTTGAGAACCGGGCTTCGTTTGACAACATGTTCTGATACGGATATATGCACGAAAACATGATTCTTTTCTGCTATGGATGCATGATTAGTTATTAATGGTTGTGTGATTTTGTTCTACTACGTTTCAGTTATACCACAATGTACAGTAAGTCGCTACACCAACCCCCACAACACTACACCTCGGGATTCCCGCTCCGCCCCTCAACCCGACTCCCCGTACTTTCTGGCGCCAAAATCCTGAAATTGCTGCAGTAGGTTCAGAAAATAGTTAGGTTCTGTTCTCAAGTCTGGGAGGGTGTTAGAATGATCAGCCTTGTATCAACCTGCGTCGCCGGCCAACGGTTATACCATCTTCCGTCAGAATTGGCGGGAAAATGCAGTTTTCCGCCTCTCCTGTGTTCCCCGAGTTTTGAGTCTCACAGGCAACAGCTGCTTCCGCCGTGTGCGCAATGGAAGGATTTTCATGACATCAAGCGGAGAACCGCGAGGAGGCTGTTCGCGGTCCCGGATAGCGCTGGCACGCGGAGTTTGCGCGGAAGTTCCCGCGCGTCCTATGCGACGGGAAGAGAGCAGCGGGATGGCGCGCGGATGAACCGGGATGTGTGGACGCGGGAGGATGGCGCAAGCGGCGGAAGGGGAAGAGCAGGGGGAAGAGAAAACGAGGGGGGAAGACGAGGGGGAGCGGAAAGATGGGGACGAGGCCGTGAGGAATCTGTTTCAGGGAGAAGAGGGTTTAGGGGGGATGGCGCAGGACGGGGAGGTGCGCGCGGGGAGAGGAGGGGGGAATGGAGGCGGAACGGGGGAGGGGAGCGACAGGGGGAGCCGGAGGAAGGACGCGGGGTGAAGGACACGGGTGGATGGGTGAGGGAGGTGGGGGAGGGGGAGCAGCAGGGGAAGGAGGAGGAGCAGGAGGTAATTCGGGAGGAGATATCACCGCACAGAGCAGGTGTGAGGGGTTGAATGGACGGTGAGGATTGAATTACTGAGTCGATTCAAAGATTAAGGATTGGAGGGTGCAAAGTGGGGGTCGTGGGAAGGGGCTTCGGGTTTGGGGTTTTGCAGCTGCCATGCGCACACTGTCAAATGGGCAGAATGCTTTTTGGCCTGACAATGTCTGATTCCTGCACAACTCTCATTTCCCTTACAATGTTTCATTCAGTCCCTGACAATGTTTCATTCAGTCCCTGACAATGTCTTATTCAGTCCCTGACAATGTTTCATTCAGTCCCTGACAATGTCTTATTCAGTCCCTGACAATGTTTCATTCAGTCCCTGACAATGTCTTATTCAGTCCCTGACAATGTCTTATTCAGTCCCTGACAATGTTTCATTCAGTCCCTGACAATGTCTTATTCAGTCCCTGACAATGTCTTATTCAGTCCCTGACAATGTTTCATTCAGTCCCTGACAATGTTTCATTCAGTCCCTGACAATGTCTTATTCAGTCCCTGACAATGTCTTATTCAGTCCCTGACAATGTCTTATTCAGTCCCTGACAATGTCTTATTCAGTCCCTGACAATGTCTTATTCAGTCCCTGACAATGTCTTATTCAGTCCCTGACAATGTCTTATTCAGTCCCTGACAATGTCTCATTCAGTCCCTGACAATGTTTCATTCAGTCCCTGACAATGTCTTATTCAGTCCCTGACAATGTCTTATTCAGTCCCTGACAATGTCTTATTCAGTCCCTGACAATGTCTTGTTCAGTCCCTGACAATGTCTTATTCAGTCCCTGACAATGTCTCATTCAGTCCCTGACAATGTTTCATTCAGTCCCTGACAATGTCTTATTCAGTCCCTGACAATGTTTCATTCAGTCCCTGACAATGTCTTATTCAGTCCCTGACAATGTCTTATTCAGTCCCTGACAATGTCTTATTCAGTCCCTGACAATTTCTTGTTCAGTCCCTGACAATGTCTTATTCAGTCCCTGACAATGTCTTATTCAGTCCCTGACAATGTCTCATGCATTGCCTGACAACGTTCCAATGCCACTCCCAGCTGCTGTCGTGCGTCTGCTGCGAGTGGAGCAAGGGGGGGCCTATGCCGACATTCTCTCAGGGGCGGCAGCAGGGGATGGACTAATGCATATCCACCCTCTCCTCCTCCCCCACTCTCCCCCTGTCCGCTGTTTCCACTGCTTCCCCCAGCGGCCGCCGTGCGTCTCTTGAGAGTGGAGCAAGGGGGGGCCTATGCCGACATTCTCTCAGGCGCGGCAGCAGGGGAGGGGGCGGGGGGGTGGGAGCTGGAGATGCAGTATGTGCGGCGCACGCTGGGGTTTGGCGTTTTGCCTCTGGAGGGGCGGGGAAGGCGCCAGGTCACCGAGCTCGTCGCAGGTGTCACCCGGTGGAGGCGTTATCTGGACTTTCTTCTCTCGGAGTTTTTTTCGGGCAGCCCGAATGAGCTGGAGAGGATGGAGCCGCTGCTGAAGCAGGTTTGTACCATGTGATGTGAAGCGTTGGGGAATTTACCCTGTTTTGACACTCGTTGTGCAAGCATAATGGAGAGGATGGAGGTTATGATGTGATGAGATGAGTAGGGATTTCACCCTGTCTAAACATCCTTGTCATGTGGTGTATGTATGATGCTGAAGAGATAATTTCTTTTGTGATATTGTAAGTTGTAATACTGGGCTTTTGATAAGCTTACCACTCTAGGCCGTGTTGCAGTGCCGGGATGCTGATGACCTCGTTTGAAATCAGTGCTTTTCTTTGCGCCTCTTCTCCCAACACTTCCTGCTCTCCTTGTTTGTAGATTCTCCGGTTGGGGATGTTTGAGCTTGCTAAGATGGACACACCGCCACATGCTGCAGTCAATGAGGTGAGTGCAGGTGGAGTCAATGCAGTCAACAGAGTCAGAGTATTTAGTCGGGCACATCTGCACTCGTCACTCAACATTGTCGCGTCTGCCCGTTGCTCTTTGCAGGCAGTCAAGCTTGCTCGGGCAGCCTTACGACCCGGAGCCGCCTCATTGGCCAATGCTATTTTGCGGGCAGCTGTTCGGGCACAGGTGCGTCACAAAATCCATAGGTCGGACTGACAAAGAGAAGAGTAGAAAGGAAAGGGCTGTGTGGGGAGCGAGGGGGGTTGGGAAAGGGAGCGAGGGAGACGGGGATGGGAGGATTTGGCGGTTGAAGGTGGTTTTTGAGGCGCCTCAAAATTTGAGGCTGGCTGGTGGTTGCAGGCAGGGCACTGGGGTCGAGGCAGTGTCATCACATCATGCAGCACCATAGATGTGCTTTGTGTGCCTCAAAGCTACTGTGGTTGCTGTGGGTCGGGTTATTGCAGGCGCTGGGGATTGTAACGATGACCTCGTTCCCTCCTTGATTTCTGGCCCTTTTCTTTGTCCTCTTTGTCTTGTTCCCCCCATCTGTCCTTATCAGGTGCAAGGCCCCCTGCCGACCCCGTCATTGCACGAGGCAATGACGGATCGGGACAAGGCACGGGCGCTCGCCACTCTGCACTCACACCCCGTGGTACGTGCTTGGTGGTGGCACGCACACATGCACTCCCACACATGCACTCCCACACATGCACTGCACTCCCACACATGCACTCCCACACATGCACTCCCACACATGCACTCCCACACATGCACTCCCACACATGCACTCCCACACATGCACTCCCACACATGCACTCCCACACATGCACTCCCACACATGCACTCCCACACATGCACTCCCACACATGCACTCCCACACATGCACTCCCACACATGCACATGTTACTGCGTGGGGCAAGCAGGACAACTTCCCTGTTATTGAGTGCAGGACGTGGTGATGCGCAAGGGGAGTTGTCCTGCTTCTTGTGACGTGGTGTGGTGAATATTAAGTGCCGATGCTCATGACATGGTCGGAATCACACTCCCGTTTCCCCCTTCCCCTCTCCGCGCTCCCTCTCCTATCCTCTTTCCCCTCTGCCCTGCAGTGGATGGTGCGGCGGTGGGCTGACAGGCTGGGGTGGCGAGAGGCAGAGAGGCTGATGGAGAGCAACAACGCACGCCCTGTCTTCTCCCTCAGGTGAGGCGATCTTTGAGGCGCCTGAACAAGCTCGCCTCACGGTTAGAGGCACCTCAAAAGCCGACAGGCTGGGGTGGCGAGAGGCAGAGAGGCTGATGGAGAGCAACAACGCCCGCCCTGTCTTCTCCCTCAGGTGAGGCGATCTTTGAGGCGCCTGAACAAGCTCGCCTCACGGTTAGAGGCACCTCAAAAGCCGACAGGCTGGGGTGGCGAGAGGCAGAGAGGCTGATGGAGAGCAACAACGCACGCCCCGTCTTCTCCCTCAGGTGAGGCGATCTTTGAGGCGCCTGAACAAGCTCGCCTCACGGTTAGAGGCACCTCAAAAGCCGACAGGCTGGGGTGGCGAGAGGCAGAGAGGCTCATGGAGAGCAACAACGCACGCCCCGTCTTCTCCCTCAGGTGAGGCGATCTTTGAGGCGCCTGAACAAGCTCGCCTCACGGTTAGAGGCACCTCAAAAGCCGACAGGCTGGGGTGGCGAGAGGCAGAGAGGCTCATGGAGAGCAACAACGCACGCCCTGTCTTCTCCCTCAGGTGAGGCGATCTTTGAGGCGCCTGAACAAGCTCGCCTCACGGTTAGAGGCACCTCAAAAGCCGACAGGCTGGGGTGGCGAGAGGCAGAGAGGCTCATGGAGAGCAACAACGCACGCCCCGTCTTCTCCTTGAGGTGCTGCATGCGATTTTTGAGGCGCCTCAAAACTTGAGGTGACGCATGCGTCCTTTTGTTCCACCATTCCTCAGATTTCTCAGCCATGAACCTTGTTTTTTGTTTGTTTGTTTGTTTGTCTGATTTTCCCTCTTTCCCCCCTCACCTCCCAACACCTCCATGACATTGCACCCAGGTCAACACTGCAAGGGGTAATGGCTGAGAAAAAAAAAAAAAAAAAAAAAAAAACCAGAGGAGCTCCAGTGGTTAAGAGTCTGTGTATGAGTTTCTCCCTTCCCCCATGGACAGAGGTTAAGAGTCAGAGTATCATCGCCTTCCCCCATGCTCCCTTCCCCCCACTCGTATCATCGCCTTCCCCCATGCTCCCTTCCCCCCACTCGTATCATCGCCACGTCCCATGCCATACATCAGGGCCAACACAGCAAGAGGGGTATCAAGGTCCGATCTCCGCTCCTTGCTGCAGGCGCTTCCTGGGGTATGCTTCTGCACCTCATGCCATCTCCATGCCACGTCACGTCACGACTATGCCACCTCGTGCCAGCTCGTGCCAGCTCATGCCAGCTCGTGCCAGCTCGTGCCAGCTCATGGCAGCTCATGGCAGCTCATGGCAGCTCGTGCCAGCTCTTGCTAGGTTTATTGTGCTGACATGCAGCACGTGCCCCCTCTCACACGTTCTCACCTTTGCACATGCTTCTTGCGTTTGTGTGTGTGGGGGTGGGGGAAGGTGGTGGAGGGAGGAGGAAACTGTTGAGGGGGGTGGTGTGTCTGTGTAAGTGTGGTTGCGTGTGTGTGCTTGCATGTGCCCTCTCCTGCTCTCACCAACCACAGGTGGAGGTGGAGGATTCACCATACCTGGACGATTTCATCCGCGTGAAAGCGGGCATGCAGCATGTGCTCACGGCGGGACTCATAGAGGACGGGTCGTGCAACGTACAGGATGAGAGTGCGGGTAGGTGGGGGAGTGCAGGTTGCATGGGCTGGGATAACCAGGTATGAAGTGATCAGGAATCCAGGTAACAAGGTGATCAGACGGACATGCAACATGTGCTCACAGCAACGCTCATAGAGGATGGCTCGTGCAACGTGCAGGATGAGAGTGCTGGTGGGGTTGTGCTGGTGGGGTTGTGCTGGTGGGGTTGTGCTGGTGGGGTTGTGCTGGTGGGGTTGTGCTGGTGGGGCTGTGGTGCTGTTGGTGTGTCGTTGTTGTGCTGGCAGGACGAGTGTGCTCTTCCTCTCCCGTCCTCTCGAAGACGTCTCAAAACCCTCCCCCCTCCTCTCCCCTCCTCCCCCCTCCGCCACCTCCCTTGCTCACTAATCACACTCAGGGCTGGTGGTGCGGGTGCTGGCGCCTCAACCAGGAGAGACGGTGGTGGACTGCTGTGCTGCGACTTGAAAAGCGTATCAAAACCCTCCCCTCTCCGCACCCTTCATCCACCCCTCTCCACGCACAGGGCTGGTGGTGCGGGTGCTGGCGCCTCAACCAGGAGAGACGGTGGTGGACTGCTGTGCTGCGCCCGGGGCAAGGCCATATATGCCGCTGGGCTCATGCAAGGCTCAGGTGGGTGGGTCACTGCTTGGCTGATGTGCTCTTAGTGCTCCTTCTCAAGGAGCATGCACACTTTACTGCTGTGCTGCGCCCGGGGGCAAGGCCATGTATGCCGCTGGGCTCATGCAGGGGACAGGTGGGCGAGACTGTTTGTGTGTGCAAAGCACTTGTCAAATTCATCTCATCTGGTTTCACCCCACAACTCACCTCTCATCTGCTCATCTCTCACCATGCCATGTCTCTCTCCTTCTCTGTTCTCCCCTCTCACCGGCAGGGCGGCTGGTGGCAGTGGATGTGAACAAGGGGCGGGTGAGGATGGTGGCACAGGCAGCTCGGCACAGTGCTACGGATGTACACCTCTTGCCACACACCCCCCCCCATTCTGTCTCTGTTACGTGCCTCTCACCAGCAGGGCGGCTGGTGGCAGTGGATGTGAACGAGGGGCGGGTGAGAATGGTGGCGCAGGCAGCGCAGCGCCAGGGGCTGGACAGCATGGTGCAGTGCGTCTCTGCTGACCTGCGCTCCTACGCTGTAAGGCTCACTCACACACACCTTGCATATACCATCCGTTGCTGCTGACTTCCAATTCTATGCTGCAAGTATGGCATCTAAGTGGGGCAGGCAGCACAGCGGCAGGGGCTGCATCACATGGTCGAGTGCATTGCTGCTGATCTGCGATACTACGCTGTGAGCCACGCAGCTTGATTTACGCTGTGCGTGGCGCAGCAGACCGAGTGCTACTGGATGCGCCTCTGAAGGTTCTCGTTAGCAACTCTACCAACGTCCTTCCCTCCCCTTCCATCCTGAAACCCCACTTCCCGACCCCACCCCGCCCCACCCCGCCCCACCCAACTCTTCATACAGGCGTCATCTCCCCTGCGTGGCGCAGCAGACCGAGTGCTGCTGGATGCGCCCTGCTCCGGCCTTGGAGTGCTGGCCAAGGTGGGTGGAGTGAGGTGATTGTATGACGAGGTGAGTGAGGAGTGCTGCTGGATGCACCCTGCTCTGGCCTTGGGGTGCTGGCCAAGGTGGGTGGTGGGAGAGGTGATTAGCGGGAGAGGTGATTATAACGAGTGGTGGTTGTATGAAGAGGAAAGCGAGGGGAGAGGTGATTCTAAGGAGTGCTGCTGGATGCGCCCTGCTCTGGCCTTGGAGTGCTGGCCAAGGTGGGTGGTGGGAGAGGTGACTGTAAAGGGTGATGATTGTGTGAGAGGTGAGTGAAGGGAGATCTGATTCTAAGGAGTGCTACTGGATGCGCCCAGCTCCGGCCTCAGGGTTCTAGCCAAGGTGAGAGGGGAGAGGTGGTTGTAGGGAGAGGTGGGTGCTGGCCAAGGTGGGTGGGGCGAGGTGCTTGTGGGGAGAGGTAATTGTAACATGTACCGAGTGGTGACTGTAAAGAAGAGATGGGTTGGGAGAGAGGTGAGTGGGGGGTTGGGGGGTGGGTGTCGGAGGGGAAAGGGGAGAGGGGAGACTTGACTGTATGAGAAGGCAGAAATGGTGAGGAACCTCCGTTAAGGCACCAAGTACTTGGTCACTTGTGATATCAGCTTACCTTTCACCTTCATTCGTCCAGCCTTACCCATCACCATAACCCACCCCGAGCCCCAAAACCATCCCCCCCTCCATCACCTGACACTGCACCCTCCCACCATCGCACCTTTACCATCCCATGCAACCCCCCATGTGCGGCACAGGTGAAGGATCAGAGGTGGAGGCGGGCAGTAGAGGGAGAGACAATATAGTAGGCACCTCAAACCCTCCCCTCTTTCTTCCATCTCCTCCCCTTCCTCCCACCCACAACCCCCCAGAGGGCGGATCTGAGGTGGAGGCGGACGGTGGAGGGGGAGGCGATTTATAAGTCCCTTAAAAGCCCCTCAACCTCACACTCACATCGCCCCCACACCCACCCCTCCTCCACAGAGGGCGGATCTGAGGTGGAGGCGGACAGTGGAGGGGGAAACAATTTAATAGGCGCCTCTCTCCCACTCCCCTTTTCCCCCTACCCAACAACAGAGGGCGGATCTGAGGTGGAGGCGGACAGTGGAGGGGGAGGCGCAGCTCACAGCACTGCAGGACGACCTGCTGGACGCTGCTGCCAGGTAGGTGGGATGCTGATGTGGACGCTGACTCGGATGCTGTTGCCTGCCAGGTGGGATGCTGACGTGGACGCTGCTGCCAGGTGGGGTGCTGACGTGGACGCTGCTGCCAGGTGGGCTGCTTGCGTGGATGCTGCTGCCAGGTGGGTGCTGACGTGGACACTGCTGCCAAGTAGGATGCTGACGTGGACGCTGCTGCCAGGGGGGATGCTGGTGTGGCTGCCGCTGGTAAGTGGGTGCTGACGTGGATGCTGCTGCCAGGTGGGAGGTTGACGTGGACAGTGCTGCCAGGTAGGATGCTGGCTTGGATGCTGCTGCTTTTACTACGTAGGGTCAGCCTGCAACAACGAGTGATGACGCTGATGTGCCTTGGGATGTGACAAGCTGAAACCCACTCCTTTCAATGCGCCCTTCTCTTATCCTTTCCCCTCCCTCACCCTCCTCCACCCTCCCCGGTCCCCTCTTTACCCTTACCACGCAACACCCCTCTCCCCTTCCCTGTCTGTCTCCCTTGCCCTGACCAGTTTGGTGCGGCCGGGGGGGCTGTTGGTGTACTCGACGTGCTCCATAGAGCCATCGGAGAACGAGGACAGGATTGTCAACTTCCTGCAAACACACCATGTATGACTCTTGCGCATCCCTGCTCACTCAAATATTTTTATTTGGAAATAAAGCCTTTGTGCTGCTGCTTTGATTGTGTGTGGTTGTTTTCCCTTTGCTTTTTTTCGGCCTTTCTTTCTTTCCCTGGTTTCCCTGTAAAGCTGTGGCATGCTACGGTAAGTCGTTGTATTGAGCCATTTATGTTGTTTTGTTCAGTTTATATGTTCGTTGTTCTCGATTGATCTGCTCATCCGGGTAGCCAAGTCTCTCTTTCATGTCTGCAGGAGTTTGTGTTGGAACCACTCGATGCAACGGTATTGCCCGAATCGATGATCTCACGCCTTCGTTGCTTTGCGTCACTGCCACATCGCCATGGAATCGACGGGGCATTTGCTGCTCGTTTGCGAAGGAGAGAGTTGTGATCAGTGTTTCCTTGGTATAGTTCTTTCAGTATTTTTGTACGAAGCAATATAAAATAAGTAATGGAAAGAGTGCTGGTATTATAAAATCATACACTCCCATGTTCCGTACTGAGTCGCAATAACGAGCCACGGAGGTTTTTTGTGAGGGAGGGGTACTCTCGAGCAGTGGATGGGGTTGCCGAACTGCGAGCTGGGCACCCCGAAACTTGCTGCTTTCCGCTGTCCACTTTTCTTGTCGGGAGGAGTCCCTTTACAGCCCCCCGGACGGCGTCGATCGGTTCCTTTTGGCCCTAGCGTTGACAATTTCCAAAAGTGCCCCGGGCAGCAATGGGAGGGATTAGGGTACAATGTACATTGCTCATTTCGTTTCCCAGCCATCGCTGGAACGCAATTGCACACCCTTTCCACTCCTCAACCACCTTGGGGTAGAGTACGCGTCGTGACGCGAGGAAGGGACTGGGTGTAGATTCAAGACTCTGTCCCGCCAGCAGCCTCGCGTTGACGACAGGCCACGCATGCCACATCAGAATGCGACGTCTTGACCAATCACTTGTCGCCTTCCCTCGCTCGGAGAAACCAAGGCCGTGCAATCTCGTCCACCAATCCTGCACCGCGCAGTTCATCTATCGTACCGTGTGCAACCTTGGCATTTCGAGCTACTGTGCATTGGGTTTTCCGCATTCCCTTGGGACCTGGGGGGTTCTTTTTCTTCCTCCTCCCCCCCCCCTCTAACTTCTGCTGTTCCTCGGTTCTGGACTGGAGCCAGCGTTACACCTTCAAGCCCACCACGGCACTCCTACACTCGCTCCCCTGTGCCCAGGCGAGGTAGGCGAGCCACCTACACCTGAGACGTCAAGATGGTCCTTGTCCGAGTTGGGTTGGGAAGCGCATCCCGTGCGTGGGGTTCCTGTCAAGTGATATTGTCACCAGGGCTTGAGTTGAGCTGTGCCCGTTCGGGGTGTATTTCTTCACTCTCCGAAATGGTTTGAAATTATTCCTGATTACGAGACCTAAAGTGTCGGGCTACTTCTAGTCACTTTCCTCTGGTCCGATTTTTCGTTTTTTATTATTCATTGCTTTGATCCATTTTTTCTGGCAATGGACGCGTTGTCGCGGTTTCACCGTCAGGCAATTGAGCAATCGCTTGTCAGAGTGCATAACATGTAGATGACACGAGCCGCCAATCGCAGCAGCGTCAGTCTTCACAGCATCAATTTTAATCCTTAATTAGAGCGTTTTGGGAGGTAAATAGTAGCAAATTTGATACGGAAAATACCGTAACGTTGCTGCCACGTGTCAAGGTCCCGTACTCCTAGTCCGTATTTCACTACTTCAAAGTCCACTTACGTTAATTTAAACACTTATTCTGATCGTGAAGCTTTATTTGTTTAGCTGGAGTAAGGATAACATCCTGGCGTCTGCAGTAGCTGGCAATGTCGTGCCAGGGACTGGCCATGCTTGATCCTCCTAGAGACAGGCAGGGCTTCCCCGAAGCGGCAGGACGCGGGGATTTTGTAGGCTCGGGGCCAAGCGGAGGAGGTTCGGCGAGAGCAACAGCAGGTTCCGCCTATGGAGGAGACGGCGGAAGCGGGGAAGGAGGCGGAGCAAGCGGAGCAGGTCCTCCTGCATTGCCCGCGCGCGGAGGCGGTCGAGTTTCCGCTATCCGCAGCTTCTTTCCTCGCAGCCGGTCGGTTTCTGTGGATTATTCCGCCTCCCCCTCCTCTCCGCTGGGTCTCCCCGGAAGCGGCGGCAGTACCAGGCGCAACTCCGAGTCGGAAGATCCGCGCCGCTCCTCCCCCCTCGGGTCCCCAGGTGGTCCGCGCAGCGGGGGAGGCGGTACGGCGGGGGATCCGCGGCAAGCATTACGACCTCCGCCGCGTTACGATCCCCGCATGGGTCGGCATTGTTCCCCCCTCGGCGGTTCCGCGCTGTCCCCCGCTCCCCGCCCCCCTTCCCCGCTTCCCGAGGCATCACTTCCCGTCTCGGCAATCCAATCAGAACCTAGCACCACCGGCGGCGGCGGCGGCGGCGGCGGAGATGGAGTATCCGGGGGACCAACCAACAGTTCCGTTCAACGGCTGCGGTCGAACCGCCACCTACGCACACAATCCGTCGACGTATCGTCCGTCGATTTCGCCTTCCACGTTCCCGATCAAGGGGGGCTGGAGGCGCAGGGGGCACCGGGCGCAGCGGAAGGAGTCGGCGCAAGGGGAAGCGCGGGGGAAAGGCCAGGGGGTCCACCCCCAAAGTCCCCCTCGGGATTCAGATTAGGGTTTGGGCTGGGGATTCGACCCAGCAGCAGTCACGGCGGCCGCCCCAATACCAGCCATGGGCGCCTGGGGGGCGGAGCAGCGTCGGTGAGGCCGGGAAGCGGCGGAAGCAGACCGGGAAGCGGGGGGAGCAGACTGGGAGGCGCGTTTGAGGGGAGCGGCGGTTCGGAGCAGAGTCAGGAGCGCGGCGGCCGGGCGCACGGGCGGCGCGCGTCGGTGGACTTTGGGTCAATGGGCGCAGGTTTCCCCGCGTCCGCCAGCGAGCCGCTATCCCCGTTTGAAGCAGCCAAAGCGTCGCTTTTCGCGAGTCAGCAGCGCCAGCGGGCGGGGATGGGGGGAGGGATGGCGGAAGGAATGGGGGGAGGCGCGGGCGGAGGGATACCGAGGCACAGCAGCGTCGACGGCGCCGGGCGCGCGATTGAGTCCCCGCGGTCAGCAGCTAGGCGCGGGCTGCAGTACGGGTTCGGTTCGGATAACCGCGGAATGGAGGTTCGGGCCGAGGCTCGGAGCCCTGTAATGCTCGGAGCACGCTCTCGGCACAGGCTCTCCGCAGGTTCGGACTCTGTTGATTCAGGTGGGAACGAGTCTCCTGGGTTTTCACCTGAGGGTTCGGTGTCTCCGCATGGGGGGGTGCTGCCGGGGAGCAGAAGCACGGGAAGCGCGCCGATGGGGGGATTCGCGGGGGGGATGTCTAGCTGGGGCGCTCGGCGCGCGGGGATCAACCCGCCGCGGTTGCAGGTGGAGGTTCACGCGGAAGAGGAGGAGGGGGAAGCGGAAGGGGAGGGGGAGGAGCGGAATGTGTTAGTGATCGAGGAGGGGGAGAACGAAGAGGAGGAGGGGTATTCAAAGGACGCACTGTCGCCACTACCAGGAGCAGAGGGCGAACGACAAAACCGCCCGCCCACAGCGGGGAAGAGCAAATCGCCCCTCAAGTCCCGGATAGCCGCAGTCGCGCGGTCCATAAAGCACGGGCTGCACAGCCCCGCCGCTGGCGCCATGGGGGGAGGCGGAGGCATGTTCCGCGGAGGGGGAGGTGGCATGGGGATGGGGGGGTTGCGGGGGCGTTGGGCGGAGGGGGAGGCGCGGAGGCGGGAGGGGCTGGCGCGGGGGGGAGCCGCAGGCACAGGCGCGCAATCTCAGTGGATTTCAATCAGGCGCCGGTTTTCACCGCGGCTTCCCCCCGTGAGGGGCCGGCGGAAGGGGCGGAGCCAGAAGAGGGGGATCCCTCCCTGTCACTCTCCCCCCCCCATGCGCTATACGCCTCTGGCGCAGACCCTGTATTTGACGCCATGTCTCCCCGCCTGCTCACCCCCAAGGGTTTCAGCACTGGGTTCGGCGCCGCTGCTGGCCCCGGGCCTGCTGGCTCGGGGATGCTAGGCTCGGCAGCGCCAGGCTCGGGCGCTGCTGCAGTGGCTGGGCGGCAGTTGGCAGGCCAGCACCGCCGGCACCACTCGTTTGCGGACCAGTCCTGGGCGGGAGGGATAGGGGGAGGGGGGGCAATGGAGTCCCCCAGGCGGATGGGGAGCGTGGGGGGCGGGGGTATTCTTCCGCCGCGCAGCCCTTTAACCATGGGGGGAGGGGGCAGCGGGGCGTGGGGGGATTATCTAAACCTAGGGGAATTTACCCCGTCCGCTTTACAATCACCCAAGCCCCCGCGCTCGCCTTACCACAACGAATTCTCTCAAGACAGAGCAGCAGCTGCGGCCGCCGCCGCTGCGGGGAATGCGTCCGCCGCTACGGGCGCAGGCCAGCTCCCCCTCACGCCTGGGCGGAACCGCGCGCTGGTAGCGGCGCGCGGAGGCGGGGGAGGCGGGGGCGCGCTGATGCGGGGCAGCGCGCGGGAGCGGCCGTCTTCTGGGATTGACGAGGACGACGACGTGTGGGGCGCTGCTGCTGCAGTGGCGGGGGTAGTGGGGGGGGCAGGGGGGGCGGGCGGAGCAGGGGCGCGCGCGGGGGGCGCGTTTGAGCTGCGCAAGGCTGGCAGCAGCAGCCGATTGGACCAGGCGCTACTGCCAGACCACCGCGTGCAGGGCTCGCTGGCCTTCAACCGCCTGCACTCCGCGCGCGACCCCCACGCCAGCCCCCCCGCGCCCGCCTTCCCCCTCACCCCCTCCGGCGCGCCTGGCAGGGCGCTCGGCGGAGGGTACGGCCGGGGTGGTGGCGGGAGAGGCGCGGAGAGGGGCGGGGCGGGAGCGGGGATGGGCGCGGGGCGGGGGGGAATGGGACGTATGGGCGCTACTGCTGCTGGTGCTGGTGCGCGCAGCAGTGGGGGGGGCGCTAGCAGCGGCAGCAGGGGCGGGATAGTGCCTGCATGCTCCTCCCTAGATAGTGCTGGACTGGACAACTCCCCTCTAGCTGTTCTCTCTCAGGGTTCTATCCCCGATCGCCCCAGCACTGCCTCTGGTCCTAGCGGTAGGCTCAGGGCAGCAGCATGGGGGAGAGTGCGAGCGGATGGGGGGAGGAGGGACGAGAGGGGGGGCGGCGTTGGGGGGTGGGAGGGGGGAGAGGGGGAAGGTGGGGAGGGGGAAGGGGAGGAGCGGGAGCTGCAGCAGCAGCAGCAGCGGCAGATGAGGCAGGGACGAGGGCAGGCGACTGGCGGGGCTGGTGTGGGTGGGTGGGGGGGAGACATCATCGGCAGTAGCAGCAGCAGCAGCAGTGATGCTATCGCCATCAACAGTGCGAGTTCTGCTGCTGCTAATGCCAGCAGCGGCGGCGGCGGTGGCAGCAGCAGCGTGAACAGTGGTGGCCGTGGGAGAAACCTGAGGAGGAATATGAGCACGAATTGCCTGATAGAGGCGGGTAAGGGCGCAGGAGCAGGGGCGGGAGGAGGAGGAGCAGCAGGTGGAATCTCAGGTGAAAGCACAGGGCTGGAGAACCAGGCACAGGGGCACGCAGGGCAGAAGGGGGGAGGGGTGCGGAGGGCAGGCAGCGTGGGGGGGGTGGGGGGGGAAGGGCCAGGTGGGGCGGAGGGGATGCGGGAGGGGGAAGGTGGGGGAGTGGGGGATGGGATGCGGGTGGAGAGGCGGAACACAGTGGATCCCCATGCGGAGCAGTTTCTCAAGAGTCTGAGCCAGTACATCAGCAGGGGGCTCACAGGGGAGCTGGGGACGTATGCAGGCGAGGGGGAGGGCGAGAAGGGTGACGCCGAGGCCAACATGTGGCAGGTGGGTGCGGCTGTGTGCGGTTCTGAGTGGTTGTGTGTGGTTGTATGCGTGTGCTGGTGCAATGAAGCACAAGGTGAAGAGCCTGAGCCAGTACATCAGCAGAGGGCTCACTGGGGAGCTGGGGACGTATGGGGGCGAGGGGGAGGGCGACAAGGGCGACGCTGAAGCCAACATGTGGCAGGTGGGTGCGGTTGTTTGTGGGTGTGTGTGTGTGTGTCCCTGTGAATGTGAGAATGGATGTGTGTGTATTCATTTGTGTGTGTGTGTGTGTGTGTGTGTGTAGGCATGTGGGCGAAGAAGTTCTACTCCATGAGCGCCACCACCATCAAACCTTTCCCCACCCTACCCCATCCCTCCTCACCCCTCCTCACCCATCTCCACCTCTCCCCACCAGATGATGAGCTCTGGCAGCATGCGGTGGTGGGATTTCATCCTGCGCATGCCATATGACGATGTGAACAAGCTCTACTCTGTCAGCGCCACCGCTGTCAAACCCTTCCCCACCCCACCCCACCTCTCCCCACCAGTTGATGAGCTCTGGCAGCATGAGATGGAGAGATTTCATCCTGCGCATGCCGTATGACGATGTGAAGAAGTTTTATTCGGTCAGCGCAGCCAAGACCAGCAGTCTATGAAACCCTTTCCCCCACCCCATCCCACCCCTCCCAACCCATCCCCCCCAATCTCTTGCCACCCATTTCTGCCCTTCTTTTTCCAGATGATGAGCTCTGGCAGCATGCGGTGGAGAGATTTCATCCTGCGCATGCCGTATGACGATGTGAAGAAGTTCTACTCCGTCAGCGCCACCAAGACCAGCAGTCTGTCACACCCTTACTCACCCCTCTCCACCCCTCCTCACCCTTACGAATCAGGTGATGAGCTCTGGCAGCATGAGATGGAGAGACTTCATCCTGCGCATGCCGTACGACGATGTGAAGAAGTTCTATTCCGTCAGCGCCACCAAGATCGACAGTCTGTCACAACCTTCCCCACTCACCTCCACCCCTCCCCACCCCTCCGCACCCATCCCCACCCACCCCCACCCCACCCCACCCTTCCTCACCCGTCTTCACCCCTCCCAACCAGGTGATGAGCTCTGGCAGCATGAGATGGAGAGACTTCATCCTGCGCATGCCGTATGACGATGTGAAGAAGTTCTACTCTGTCAGCGCCACCAAGATCGGCAGCGGGCGGTACGGCGTCATTCGGACGTGTCTGAGCCGCAAGACCCGTGTGGTGCTGGCCTGCAAGACGATCCGGAAGGACCAGGTCAAGGTGAGGCTGACAAGGGGAGGAGAGGGAGGGATTGGGCGAGAGTTGGGGGGGACGAGGCATGGCATGAGTGGTAGTACGGCGTCATTCGGACGTGTCTGAGCCGCAAGACTCGCGTCGTGCTGGCCTGCAAGACGATCCGGAAGGACCAAGTCAAGGTGAGGGAGGGGAGGGGATGGGAGGACCTCACGCCTCGCCTAGTGCATGGAGGGTAGGTCGCAGAGGACATGCACACAGAGGTGATCAGACTGGGCATGATGCACGCGCACCTCATGTCGCACCACCCCACCCCTTCCCACCCCTTCCCACCCCTTCCTGTCCCTACCTGCCACTTCCTCTTTCTCTCCCCCCCAGTGCATGGAGGATGCAGAGGACATACGCACGGAGGTGATCATCCCGGGCATGCTGCGCACCGCACCTCCAACACACCTCAAAACACAACCCCCACACATTGCCCCCTTGCCCCCCAGTGTATGGAGGACGCGGAGGACATACGCACGGAGGTGATCATCCTGGGCATGCTGCGCAACCACCCGGGCATCATCAGCCTGCACGACGCTTTTGAGGATGCAAAGGTACATGGGAAGGGCAGGCAGCACAAGGTACATTTCTGCTCATGGCATCGCATTGCCTCCCATGCCATGCTGCGCAACCACCCGGGCATCATCAGCCTGCACGACGCTTTTGAGGATGCAAAGGTGTAAATCTCGTGTGCACCTCATGTGCCATGCCACGCACTACATTGCCTCTCATGCCATGCCACGCACTGAATTGCCACTGCCCTGCTCTGCATTGCCGTATTGCTGCTGCTCCAGTCACTTCCGCCACCTCTCACCTCCAGCACTCACTAGCAGCACCTCTCTCACTATCACTCCTCTCTTCCCCCTCCCTCCCCTCCCTCCCCCGCTCCTCCCTCCCTCTTCCCCCCTCCCCTTCTCCCCAAACTCCCTCACCCCCTGGCAGTACGTGCACCTGATAATGGAGATGTGTCGGGGGGGAGACCTGTTTGACCGGGTGAAGCTGCGCGGGCAGTTCAAAGAAACCGACGCCGCCATCGTGTGCCGCTCGCTGGTGGAGGCGCTGCTGCACTGCACTGCCCTGCCTTGCCCTACCACGCTGCTCCAGCACTCACTCACTCGCAGCACCTCTCCCTCTATAACTCCTCTCATATCCGTCCCTCCCCTCCGTCCCCCTCCCCTCCCGTCCGTCTCCCCCGCTTCTCCTCCCTTGTCCCCCACTCCCCTCACAGTACGTACACCTGATAATGGAGATGTGTCGAGGGGGAGACCTGTTCGACCGGGTGAAGCTGCGGGGCCAGTTCAAGGAGACAGACGCGGCCATCGTGTGCCGCTCGCTCGTGGAGGCGCTGCTGCACTGCCACTCCAACGGGGTGATTCACCGCGATGTGAAGCCCGAAAACGTGCTCATGTGTGACAAGGACGTCGACACCAAGATTAAGCTGATTGACTTTGGCGTTGCCACCTTCTACAAGCGAGGTGAGGGGCGGAGGGGTTGGGTGAGGGTAGGTGGGGTTGTTACAGGCACTGCTGCTGCTGCCGCTGCTGCTGCTGCTGGTAGAACGTGCTCATGTGTGACAAGGACGTCGACACCAAGATCAAGCTCATCGACTTTGGCGTTGCCACCTTCTACAAGCGAGGTGAGTCTGGGGTTGCTGCTGCTTGCTGTTGTTGTCTGTACAAGGGAGGTGAGGGAAATATGGGGAGAACGTGCTCATGTGTGACAAGGACGTCGACACCAAGATCAAGCTTATTGATTTCGGTGTTGCCACCTTCTACAAGCGAGGTGAGAGGGGTGGGGCTGGTATAGGCACTGCTGCTAGTGCTGGTTGAACGTGCTCATGTGTGACAGGGTCGTGGATACTAAAATTAAGCTCATTGACTTTGGCTTCGCCACCTTCTACAAACAAGGTGAGTGCCGGTGGGTTTGGTACAGGGGCTGCTGCTGCTGCTGCTTGAGTAGGCCCACGCAGTGAGGTTATGCCTCGAATCATCAGTTTTTCTTTCCCCCCGTCCCCCCTCCTCCACTTCCTCGCTCCTCCTCCCCCCCTTTCAACAGGTGTCCCCTGCAGAGAGCGAGCAGGCACGGTAGAGTACACAGCTCCAGAAGTGCTGGATAATAGCTACGGGCCAGAGTGCGACATCTGGAGTGCTCGATTCACCTTCCCTAAACCCCGCCTCCCCTCCCTTTCTCTTCCGTCATTAGGTGTCCCCTGCACGGAGCGAGCAGGCACAGTGGAGTACACAGCTCCCGAGGTGCTGGATAAGAGCTACGGGCCAGAGTGCGACATCTGGAGCGCGGGAGTCACCTTTCCTAAAACCCACCTCCCATCCCCTCTCCTCTCCCCTCCCTTTCAACAGGTGTCCCCTGCACGGAACGAGCAGGCACAGTGGAGTACACAGCTCCAGAGGTGGTGGATAAGAGCTACGGGCCTATCTACTGGATCATCTCTCAAACCTCCCCTTCCACCCCTCTCCCAACTCCCTTTCAACAGGCGTCCCCTGCACTGAGAGGGCAGGCACAGTGGAGTACACAGCACCGGAGGTGCTGGATAAGAGCTACGGACCAGAGTGCGACATCTGGAGCGCGGGAGTCGTCCTTTACATCCTCCTCTGCGGCTTCCCGCCCTTCTGGGCAGCGACCAACGCTGAGCTGGAGCAGAGCGTGCGCGCGGCGGCGGTGGACTTCCGGCACCCGCGCTGGGCGGCCGTGTCGGACGGCGCCAAGGACCTCGTCAAGAGGATGCTCACAAAGGACGTGAGGCGGCGGATCTCTGCACTGGAAATATTTGGTGAGTCTGGTTTTGAGGGGGACAGAGAGGGGGTGTTGTTCTTGGGTAAGGACACAAACAAGGGGGGTCGTGGGGGAGGGGGGAAGTGTTGTGTTGTGTGGGGGACTGGGGAGCAAACTGATTGGGTGGATGGAGTATTGGAAGGTCGTGTACATGTCAGTTTCTACTTCTGACTTTTGAGTCGACTCAAATGTCAGTTTCTACTGTTGATTTTTCCATTCCCACTGCTGCCCTTCTCTTTCTACTCTTGAGCACTCCATTCCCACTTCCCCCTTTCCGACTCCCATTGTCGCCCTTTCGATCCCACTTGCCCTTCCCATTCCCACTATCGCCTTTTCTATTTCCACTGCTGTGCTTTCCATTTCCATTGCTGCCCTTTCCAATTCCAACTCTTGGCCTTCTCATTTTCACTGTTGCCCTTCTCATTCCCTCTGCTGCCCGTTCAATTCATTCTACCCTTGACGCTCCTTACTTTACGCCCCTCCAATTTCTCTAATGGCAGCACACCCCTGGATAAGAGCTGCCGAGAAGCAGCAGCGATTAGACAGCAAAGCGCAAGCTGCAAATGGTGACTCGTCCTAATTGTGTTCGAAACCCAAGCAACACGAATGTGCAACGCAACTAACCTTGACCTTAGGCTCATGCGAACAGGACTGTTTTGAGATTTGCTCGGAAGGTTGTCTGCTTGATTTGTGACTGACGGAAGTACAATGAGGATGCAAAATAGATTGTCACCACAGGTAGGATGTACGCCTTTTAAAAATCAACGGGGGGTCCTACCGTATAACATGGTTGCCCTTATCCCGAGTAGTATCAATAACAACAATCGTGTGGTGTGGATGTGCTCGTGGTCCTTCAATTCCTGTCGGCATCTTCCAGATAGAATCAAGACTTGACAGTTCTCGTGTCAGCCAGAGGCTTTCTCGAATCTTCCCCTGCAGCCGTGGCAAGTTTGTGTGGGCGTTCGAGCTTGTGGTTCCTGCCGTCATCAGCATGGCAAGGTCGGGGGGGGCTTGTAGCAGCCCGGCGCGCCACCTCATGACCTGACCGCTGGCCCCCCCGCTGTTCTGTGCAGGGAGAAGATCAAACTGGGGCCGAACATTAGCAGGAAAGTGACCAAATTAGGGCCGGGTTAATCCCAACCGTTGGATGTACTTCCGAGGCTGCCCAAGTGGTAGGGCCGAGAATTCGAACCTAGATTTACAGGAAATTACAAGCATTTCGACTTCATTGGATCAATTTGTTTTTGTACGTTATGATCGCCACCTATTACAAAAATCGCGTCGTACTTCTCTTGGAGTAGTTTTCATCTTGGTTCTCGGAAAATTTACATCACCTTAGCTGACCACAAAAAATAAAACCGAATCCGAAATGGATGCGACTCGGGGAGGCATCAACCCTAAACTCTACTTGGGTTCCCGTGTTTAGGGTTGATCCCTCCCGAAAATGCGTCCAGGTTCTCTAGGGGATTACTTTTTCCTCCCTGCCCTAACAGTTTCTGGTAGCGTCGTCTACTGCTTCGTAGTGCTGACGAATGGAAAACACTGATTTATCTCGACATAACGACAGAAATTTTCCAATTCATCAGTTACCACGAGTGGGGTGGTCAGAACCTCTGAAAAGTAAAATTGAATCGCGAGTATGGACAATTCGAATTTTTGCTTCAAAAGCCCAGGTTCGGTTTCTCCGGACCTAATTTGGACACCCTCGTGCTATTTTTCGGCCCCTGTTTGATCTTTGCCCTTCTGTGCGTCCAAGTGGGTTTGGGAACCTGCTGACCTGTCCAACCTCCTCCTCAGCTTCAACCACCAAGTCGCCGAACCTGTGCAATTGGTTAGATTAAAAAAAATATCGGTCATGCAGAACGAAGTTTTTGTAGAGTTGCGTGGGTGAAGGTTGTCGAATTGTGGGCAGCAATTACGGTACTGCACGGTTTCAACCTCTTCGCATCCTGCAAATATCACACAAGGTCTTTTCGAGTTTTGCCATTTTCAAACCGAAGTCCCACAGTCGTTGCCGAGTCTACCTGGCAGGTCAGGTTGGTCCTTTTCTCTCCCTGGCACGAGCAGGTTAGGAGGTCCGGCGTTGGGAGACGTAGCGAAGAGGCACCAGCGTTGTTCTGGCAGTTGCACTGCCCGGAACAGTTGTCCCGAAGCAGTTGACGTTCGGTCTGCTCCGCCGCCACCTCATTGCGTTCCCCCGACTACGGCAGTCGCTTGATATATCTGCGCCCCCATCCGGACAAGACTTGGGTTCGCACGCCCAACGAAAACGTCCCTGTGGGTCGGATGTGGCCCCCAAAACTAATCGAACGGTTGCGATGGCGTGACGAATGCAGCGCGCGGGAATCGTGCGCATGGGTAGGCGCAGGAGGGATTAGGTTTTGAGGAGAGGGGGATATTTTGGAAGGGTGGAGGGAATTGTCGAGATCGAGAAGAGCAGTCTATTTGAAGGCTGGGATGGGATGGGATGGGATCGGATAGGTTGGGATGGGATGGGATGGGATGGGATGGGATGGGATGGGATGGGATGGGATGGGATGGGATGGGATGGGATGGGATGGGTTGGGATGGGATGGGATGGGAACGAATGAAACTGGTTGAGGTAGAAACCGAAGGTATTGACTCAGTCAAGGGGTCGGCAGAGTTCGTAGCTTTTAGGTTGTGCTGCCGACCTCCTTTGCTTCTGAAAAAAGAGCCTCTTGTTCTCCCAAGGCGCCGTAGAAACTCGATTTGGCCTGAGGCACATCTATGCTACAAATAGGAGTTTCGCACCCAGACGCTGTCGCAGCAGATTGTATTTAATTATTAACTCGAACGAGACTCTCGTTTGTGGGATCCAGGTACTATTTTCGTTTTTCACTAGTTTGTACGATGGAACCCGAGGAAGATTTGCCACCTGCTGCGGAATTGCCTGACCTGGAACGGCAGGATGCGAAGGAGGCGATGGATTTTGTTAACTCTGACGGATATCGATGGCTCAAATATGGCTCCAAGTTTCTCAAACGAGGCGGATTGAAGAGGTACACGCCACGAGTAGTAGGCTAGCTGCCGCAGCGCTGCTGCTTTTGAGGATACCGACTACGTCGATGCTCCGTGTTCCGGTTTTTTTTTTTTTTTTTTTTTTTTTTTCACACTAGTAAGTTTCTACTAATGAATCCTTATTGGTCTCGTATTTCGCCATGATGACGCATCCTCCCCTTCTTTCCTTCAATCGCGTATAGTACTACCCGCAGAGCCTACTATCGCTGCGCATCGAGCAACCCCCAGTACCGCAAGCCGCCTTGCGCGGAGCCGTGCAGGGCGCGGAAGCTGATTGATTACGACGCGTCCACGGGGATCATCCACGCGTCCACGGCCGTCGTGCAGCTAGCGGGATCCCCGCACAACCACCCTCCGCTGTTCGTCGTCCGTGCGGGCGCGGCGGCGTGTGGCGCGGCTCCAGCTGATTCGCCGCTTCAGCGGCGGCTGCAGGAACAGGGTTTGGCGGCTGGTAGAGGGGAAATTCGGGATCCCCTGGAGCAACGGGCCAACTCGTTGCACGTGCCGCTGCAGCAGCAGCAGCAGCAGCAGCAGCAGCAGCAGCAAGAGAAGCAGCAGCATCAACAACAACAAAAACTACAGCAACAGCAACAGCAACAGCAACAGCAGCAGCAACAGCAGCAGCAGCAACAACAACAGCAGCAACAGCAACAGCGACAGATGCACCAACAGCAACAGCAACAATATTGGCAGCTCCATCAGCAGCAACAACAGCACCAATGGATGCAGCAGCAGCATCAGCAGCAGCAGCATCAGCAGCAGCAGCAGCAGCAGCAGCAGCAGCAGCCAAATCAACAGCGTTTGCCATCTCACACTCTACCCATACATCAATCGACATCTCCCACTCGCACATCTCCCGTTAACCTCTCGCCGACTCAGCCAGACGTCCTGCGGTTTCGTTCTCACAACCGAATGCCTTGCCGTTCGGATCTGCCGCCCATGGCTCGGCCAATCAGCCGCATGCAGCACCCCACAGCACCCTGCCTTGCCAGTTCTACCGCTTCCCCTCCCGGCAACGTCAACGCTGACGGAATCCAGAGAAGAACGCTCAGCCTCGCGTCACTCCTGCCGGTTACTGCATCCACCAATGAATGGGAACGTGGGGAAAGAAAGCGTCCTTATGGTGAGACTGGTACTATTGGCTCGGGCCAACCAGCACCATGGGTCAGCGAGTTGATTTTTGAGGCGCCTCAAAAACTTCCGTATGGTGAGACTGGTACTACCAGCTCGTGCCAACCAGCACCATGGGTCAGTAGCAGCGTGGCACGGGACGGCCCCAGCTCTCGCGTGAGCAGCATGGACAGGGATCCGCCCGGATCTCACAGAACATCTTATAGAACAGGTGTCCTTCGCAGTGCTGGCACTGGTGACGGTGACAGTCGCAGCGGTGGTGGCGTTCGTATTCATCGCAGCAGCAACGGCAGTGGTGGTAATGGTAATGGCGGTGGCGGTGGCGGAGCGGCACAGAGTGCTTCCGAGAATGCGGAAAGAATGTGCATAAGCAGTGACAGACACGCGATGCAACAGGGCAGGACGGAGCAAAGTGCTTCCGAGAATGGTCAGAGAATAGACTCAAAAAGTGACAGGCACACGTTGCAAGATGGCACGGGATGGGGTGCCACGAGAAGGGAAGATTCAGCAGGGATGATGACTTCCCCTGTAGTGTGGTTTTCAAGTCGAGCCTCGTGGATTGGGGGGGAGGTGAGTCGGAAGCGGAAGGGGAGAGAGGGGCGGGCGGAGGGGGGGACGGAGAGGAGAGGGGAGAAGGGCGAGGATAGGGGGGTGGAGAGGGCGGTGAGAATGAGAGGTGGTGGGAAAGGAGGAGAGGGGAGAGGGGGGAGAGAGGAGGTGGGTGTGGAGGGTGGGGGAGGATGTGGTGGTGTGAGGAGGAAAGAGGTAGAGAGATTTGTTGAGAGGGTGGGTGATGGAATGGGAAAGAGGGAGAGCGAGGACGAGAGGAGGACGTGGGAGGTCGGAATTGGCGAGCAGAGGGTGATACTTAGTGGAGGATGCATGGTTGATGTTGCCATAGGTAGAGCAGCAGAAGCAGCAACAGCAGTAGCAGGTTCAGGAAGAGCAGCAGATGCAGCAACACCACTAGAAGCAACTGTAGCCGTTACAAAAAGAGCAGCAGAAGCAGCAATAGCAGTAGCAGTCACAGAAAGAGCGGCAGCAGCGACGACAGCAGTAGCAGTTACAGAAAGTGCAGCAGATGCAGCACCAGCAGCAGCAACAGTTGCAGAAGCAGCAGCAGTTACAGAAAGAGCAGCAGAAGAAGCAACAGCAGCAGAAGCAGCAGCAGCAGAAACAGTAGCAGGGAAGATAGCAGCGAGCGATGAGGCGGTTGAGTCTCCCCTTTGCAACGATATGTGCATTGATGTGGATCAGGTTCGACCTGGGGAGGAGGGAGGGGGAGATGGGGAGAGGAGGGGAGAGGTGGAGGGAGAAGTGGAGGGGATGAGAGGAAGTGGAGAGATGACAGGCGGTGCGGAGAGGATGAGAGTGGACAGTGGACAGTGGAGCGAGGGGCGGGGGGAGTCT